CCGCCCGCCCCCTCTACCCCCTCCCGCCTCGAGGCCCGGCGAAGCCCCCGCGCCCCCCAAGTCCAGCCGCCCCGGGGGCCACGATACTAGCGGCTGCAGGCGCGCGGCCAGCCTTTCCAGGGCGACTTCGTTCTTTATTCAGCAGTTTGAGTTAATCAAAAGGAACGTGGCAGGTGGAGGGCGGCCGCCCAGGAGCCTGCGCGAGTCTTCCTGTGGGGATTTCCACTGCCTGCCCAGGTGCTGCTGGAACCGCCCGACTTTAAGGATTCATTTCTTTTCCTGCCAGTTCCTCCCAGCCCGGCCCCCGGCGCGTCTGATCTCCGAAAACGCCAGACTGCCTCTGGCCTCCGAAGGATTCTACCTGGAGGGCGCTAGTAACAAGCCTGCCAGTCCGGGCTCCCGGAATCGTTATCCCCCAGGAGGAGGCGCGGTGGTGGCTGGAATAATGACAACAATACAGTCGATGACAATAGCCGGCAATTAGCGCGGCCCCCATCTGCCAGCCAGGCACCCGCACGCGCCGGCGCAGTCGCTCCTCCGCGCGCCACCCGGAGCGCAGGTGAGGGCGCCGAGGACCCCTGCTAGCTGCCGGGGTCGGGACGAGCATCCAGGCGCCGGGCTCCAGAGCCACCATTCGCAACAACCGGTGTCCAGGGCTTGGGGACGGTGGGAAGGGTGACGGTTACGGCTGGCTAAACCTCGAGATTTGGGCAACTCCTGACAATAATAAAAATGTTAGGACAAAAGGGAGGGGAAGGGCGAGGCTGGGGAGAGAGCGGTTTTAATCCGCTCGGCCAGCCCCCTTTTATCTTTCGAGCTCTCCCGGTCCCCAAAGAGGGGATGGGGGCAGGGATGGGGTTTGGTTCGATTCTCCTCTTTTGTTTTCCTAAATCTCCAGCCTCTTGCAGGCTGATTGGGCCTGGAGCGGTGCCGGCGAGTCAAGGGAGTTATGTTTGTGGGGGTCTGAGGTAGTGACCGGGGAGAAGGGCCGGACCTCTGGTTGGCGACGAGACTTCCCGAGGCTGGAGTCTGGACCCCTTGCTCACCCGAGCCTCACCGGAAACTCAACCAACCCAACAGCTCACCCCCAAAGACTGCGGGAGACCTTGGTAAGAGGTCGTGATTATGACTCCCTGAGGGAGGTGGGGGACAATGTCCCTTTGCAACCGCACCCATAAGCCGACCCGAGAACCGAGTTTACGGAAGCCCACGCAACCCGCATTTCTCAAATCCATGCACCCAGAATATTCTTTGCACCCCGGCGCGTCAAGGGTCCGCGGAGACACGCGTCCCTCCCCCGGGTCTCTCAGCGCCCGGGCCGGGGAGGCGGAAACCGGTGGGCCGTGCCCCCAGCGCCGGGAAGCCTTCAAAGCTGCGCGCCTCCCGTCGGCTGCAGTGCGCGCCTTTGCCCGACAGGGACCAGCACCGCTCCACGCGCCGCGCGCCTGCCCGCTCGCCCTCCGCAGCCCAGGCTGCCGGGCCGCGAGCGGTCTGACCCCCTTAGGAAAGTGAACGGACTCCCCGAGGCCTGCTCAGCACGGCGTCGCTCCCACCCCATCCCCATCCGGACAGCAGAAGCTGCTCTAGAAGTTGGTCTGGGGCGGAGACCGTCCCGGATCCGAGAGGAAAAATAAAACACGAGATTCGTTTGGGAGGCGGCCACCGTTAGAGGGTTGCGCGCTTTTCTGAGCACCTTCCCAGTGGCTGGCCTCCATCCTGAGGAAAGATCGCCGGATTAATCCCTGGGCACTGTGGGCCGCTGAGCCGCCAGATATTGTGAAGTGTCTCCAGACTGGGGAGAGAGCGGAGCCCAGCGCACCCCGTACGGCGCTGTGGGGCAGCACCGCGCGGTCGTCGCTCGACTCCCCTTCCCGCCCGGGTGGTCTGAAGTTGTACCCCTGTCAGTTCCCTCGTGCATGCCACGTCCGCGTCCTCTCCCCGTCAGGATCGCGGCTGGAGCCCCTGGCCCTTCCCGGGACACTCACCGGTACCAGGCGAGGCCCTTGTCGTAGCTGCGGTCGAAAAAGTGGGGCTCTGCGCCCACGGCGCGCACGTCGGGGTGCACGCGCAGGAACTCCAGCAGCGCCCGCGTTCCGCCCTTCTTCACGCCGATGATGATGGCCTGCGGCAGCTGCTTGCTCCCGGACCCGCTGAAGAAGCTAGAGATGGGGCTGGGGGAGTCCGGCGTCTCGGGGCTCTGCTCCTCCTGGCTCGCGGCGCCTTCGGCCATCTCTCCGCCCGCAGCCGACTGGGTGGCTGGCGCCGCCGGGAACGGGAGCCTCTGGGGAGGCCCGTCGGGACCCGGGACCGGCGGGGCGTGGGCGGCGCGGGACCCGGAGCCCAGCAGCAGCAGCCCGGGCGCGGCGGCGCAGGAGCCGGCGCAAGAGTAGACGAGCAAGTAGAGCCAGACGCAGAGCATGGCGAACAGCAGCGCGAGCCTCCTCCTCACCGGCGGCGGGGGCGGCGGCGGCTGCGGCAGGAGCCGGCCGGGGACATCGAGGCAGGACCGGCCGCCGCTCAGGCTCTGCCCCATGCGCTGCCCGCGCGCGCAGCGAGGGGCATGGCTCAGCACATGGCGCAGGGCCCGCGGGAGCAGGGAGCGCGGCGAGAGTTCCCTGGACGCCGGGCGGTTCGGCTTATTGGCCCCGCGCGCCCGCGGTCGCCGCTGTTGCTCTGCCCCAGGTGGCGGCGGCAGCTGCACGGCCGGCAGCTTTTGACATGTTGCCGGGAGGAGCCACAACTGGAACGAAGGTCGGGTGGTGGCAACTGCCGGCCTGGGGCTGCGACGCCGCGCTCGGGGCCGGCAGAGTTCCGCCCTCCGGCGTCCCCACCCCTCCGGACTGTGCGCGCCGCACGGCCGCTCGCCGGGGCTGCCTCGTCGCGGTCCTGTGAACCGAGCTCTGAGCGCAGCCCCGGCGCTTCCCCCGCGGAGGCTGCGAAGGAGAACTGCGCAGGAAGAGCGCCGGAGACCGAGGCAGAGTGGGCGGGCCCGGCCACCGGGAGTGATGGGTCGCTCCACCTACCAGAAACCCGAGGCGCCATGCAAATCCCGCCGCTTAGCTGAGGGTTCGGCAGCCAACCAGCTCCCGGAACATGGGGGTGTGGAAAGGGTTTGGGGGCGGTGGAGAGCAATCGGGGGATTCTATTGGATGAGAGACAAGGGGCGGGCCTGGAGGGGCGGAACCAGGGGCTGGTGACAGGCGCAGCTGGGAGGAAGGATGCTGGAGAGACCTCGAACGCAGGCAAAGCACCGACCCTGCGTTTCTATTGGATGAGAGACAAGGGGCGGGCCTGGAGGGGCGGAACCAGGGGCTGGTGACAGGCGCAGCTGGGAGGAAGGATGCTGGAGAGACCTCGCACGCAGGCGAAGCACCGACCCTGCGATCCCTGCACCTCGCCGCCCGCGCGCACTTCCGCACTCGCTCCCGAGGAGCCGGGCTCGGCTGCATTTGCCCTTGTGTGCGGACACGCGTCCCCATGCAGATGGTTCGCGGGCGGGATCGTGGTGTGTGCGCGCGTTAGAAGTAGGGAAGGGGTGGAAGCGCGAGAGTCTGGCGGGAGATGCCAGCCCACCTCACGCCGGGACTCGGAGGGGGGCCCTTCCGGAACTGGCATGGTTTAGGAAGTTTAAGTGGAAAACGCTGTCGAACTTTTTTCTTTTTTTTTTTTTTAAAGTCTTCTTACTCTTTGCTGGGAGTTGTTCTCTCCCGGGCAGCAGGTTAACGCGATCGATGGATCGTTAGATAGTTCCTGAGGAACTGTCCTTAATAAAAATTCTTCCCTGGCTTCCCCAAGTGCTGGTGAAAGGTCGGGAGAAATTAACATGGAGTTAAAGGCTATGGGAATTTTTCCCGGCGCCGAAAAGTGAGTGTGAAAGTTTTGTGCGGATATGAGTTGTTGGGGACGTTGGAAAACGTTCTCTTCCCTTCCCATGAATAAATATCAAAGCCAACATTCGTCTGCATCAGAAGTCGGTTTGATTTGCTGACCTGTTCCACCAAGTATTAGGTGTTTTTTCTATGCCAAAAGTCAACTCGGAGCAAATCGATCCCGGAGTTGCACTTAAAGTCCGCTCCAAGTCTCTTTCCAAGAGTTTCCTCCGTAGAGTGACCAGTCCCGGCCTGGCGGCGGCCTCGCTGCTACATTGATGCGCCGCGTTCCGGTTGGAAGCTTCGGTTCTCCCCGGCGGCACTCAGGAAGTTCTGGATGAGAAGACTCGGCCCCAGAGGGGTCAGCGGGCCTCCCACGCTTGGCCCCGCGTGGTTCCGGGACAGAACCTTCCTTCCGATCCCGACCTCCACGCGGCCCCAGGCTGAGCGCGGCCCCCGCTGCCTTCCCAGTGCGCGCGGGCGGGCGGCGGAACCGCCGAGCCCCGGTCCCCCTGCCGCGCTGTCCCCTCCCGAGGAAGTTCCCCGAGTCCCGTAGTCTCGCCGCGGGTCCTGTTCCCCTCCGCCGGGAACACACCGAGGACGCCCCTCGGTCGTGAGCTTCTGAAGTTGGAAAGTCTGCTGGAGAGCGGGAGCGGCGACCCCGGAGGGTTCGGGTGACCCTGCGGCCCCCACCCGGCCCCCAGGCCCAGTTGTGCTCCGGGCGACCTCCTGGTAACTCTGGAGCCCAAGACATTTTCTAGTAGAGTGGCTGCGGCGGAAGTAATTTAGGAAGAAGATTCCTCCCCCCTTTTATATTCTCAGGGAAATTTTATTCCCAGCGCTCCTTTCCCCTCTCCGTCGGAAGTGACTTATCTCGCCTTACTTTTTAATTACATTAATTTATTACTAATTTATTTTAAAGTTCTGAAACATGAGAGTGTATTTCTGAGCATTAGCTTAGGCCAACTTTTTCTTTTTTTAAGCAAGAGGGAAAATCTTAGTGTCTCCGAAGCATTTCCTCAAATTCATATTATTTCGGGAAATGAAGTCACTATATTCTAGGCGGCTTTGAATTTGTGGACGTCTGTGGATTTGGGGGTGGGTGATAGTGGTTTATGGTTTGTGCGTGTTCACACGAACTGTAGCTACCACATGGCTAACTTTGGGCGTGGTTGGGTGTGAATGTTACAGTTTGTTTTTGGTTTTCTAAATCGATAATTCTAATTGAAAATGGTTCCTGTCCCGAGGGATCAGTGTAAAAGTCCAGTGTAAAAGAAGAAAAAAAAGTTCGCCGGATATATTTAGGATTTTTTTTTTTTTCCCGGGGGCGGAGGGAAAGAGGGGGTAGAAGCAAAGACTTGGGCATCGGAAATTGTCAGGAGAGCGCCGCGGAGCCGAGCGACCCCGGGCCAACTCGCCGCCGAAGCCAGCCGACCGCGTTCGATCCCCACCGCCGAGCGAAGGGCCGCGCGCTGAGCTGATGTCCGCGGTGATCCTGGCCTGAGCAGCGCCCGGCGGGCAGCTCAGCCGGGCGGAGCAGCCCTGCCCCGCGACCCTGCTCTTTGACCCTTCTTCCCACTCGGCTGGTCAGCCCCAAAGAGCTCCCCGAAATCCCCGGGCGCGGCTGCCTCGGTCAAAGCCATCTCCCCACTTCGTCCCAATCAGCTGATGCGTAACCCGAGGTCAGCCTGCAAGGATCTGTCGGCGCGCCCGACCGTGAACCCAATTGGAGCTGCTGCCCTTAACCAGTGCTCAGCAGTCCTGGGTCCCCACGCCACGCGACCACCCAGATGCGAGAAAGGCCGCCCTTGGATACATTTATGCCTAAGTTTTGCCACCCCCGGGAAACCCAGAGAGGGGCGAATGGGATTTCAGCACCCGTGGAAGGGCTGTTTTCTCTGGGTTGGTTTTTTGCGCTTACCTAATGGGGTGCTCACCTAGGACCACGGACGGTCTAACTTGGCAGGCAGCCTCTTCCCCTTAGAAACGCACAGACCGCCCCAGAGGCCACCTCCTGTCCCTCTTCACCTCCTGCTGCCTACTACCCTGTCGGCTCACCCTCTGGCTCTAAAACCCCCCATCTGTAAAGAAGGGGACCTGCGCCAAAGGATCCCCGTGGTCTCTTCCGCCTGAAGGTTCTCTGGTTCTGGGCTCCGGCCCCTGCCGCTCATCCCGCCCACCCTCCGGCTCCCCGGCCGGGCCCCCAGCTGCTTGCCGCAAAGGTCGCACTTCCTGGGCTGCCTGAGCTGGTGGCCCGGAGCCCGGTTCCTGTCACCGGAACCCATGTCTCCTCCCTGCCCCGCAGCCAAACGACCCCGGAGTTGGCAGCTGCAAGCTCCCTCCACCCTATGCCCCGCTGCGCCCAGATGCCCGCCCGCAGGGGGGCGCTCCGACAGCTGCGGGATGGGGGCGGGGGTCGCGGCGCCCCAACTCCCAGGGGGCTGTCCCTGGCACGCCTCGGAGCCCCCCTGTCCTAGCGGAAAGCCCCAATCAGAGCTAAGGGCTAGAGGCAGGCTAGCAGACCGGCCATCAGAAACCCCTTGAAAGAGTGGCGGGAGGGAAACGGCCAAGTGGAAAGGCTTCCCAGGCTGCGCTCCTGCTGCACCTGGGGGACGATGTGTCTAGCGACCTCAGTTGGATCCATCACCCCGGCGCCGGGGCTCTGGCTGTCTGAGGTCCCAGGAGGACCCTCAGTACATCGCAGAAGAGAGATGACTGCTCCTGTCCTAAGGATAAAAGAACTCAGGTGCCCAAAAACACCAGAAAAGAACTCTGGTAGTTGATGTCCCGAGGACTCATGGTCTTATGCTGATTCCAGCTCCCTCCCCGTGGCCCCTGTGTTCTGGGTTTGCAGCTTCCCTTGTCCTCAGGCTCCCTCTGGGCCGTTCATCAAAGACTGGCAGCTTCCGTCTTCTGCAAGACACAGCCCCTGCCGGGAAGTCCTCCTACACTGCCTTGCTTCCAGGTTCTGGAATGGCTGTCTGCTCACCTCTGCAGATCTAGGACGGTGATGACACCTCCCCTTTCCAGCTCCAAATACGTGCCTTCCCCAGGTTCTCCTTTGCCTCCAGCATCTTTGTAAGTGGTCCTTCCTGTGTGTTACTCAGGTGATGTCCCACAGCTTTCCTGCCAGGACCCTGACTTTGTCACCGTTAGTGTTAGTTGCTCAGTCTTTGCAACCCCATGGACTGTAGCCCACTGGGTTTCTCTATCCATGGCATTCTCCAGGTAAGAACACTGGAGTGGATTGCCCTGCCCTCCTCCAGGGGATCTTCCCGACACAGGCATAGAAACCCGGTCTCCTGCACTGCAGGCAGATTCTTTTCCGTCTGAGCCAGCAGGGAAGTTTGTCACTAGGGTTGCATTACTTTGCCTAATCTGGTTCCCAGCCCCTTACCAGCTGTGTGACTTTGAATAAGTCACCTTCTGAACCTCAGTACCACTGGCTGTCATTGCACGCCTCTGCTCCAGATGCCGTCAGCCCCTCTTTCTCCGTCAAGGTCTCCTGGCCGTGGAAATCCTCCAAGGCCGGTCCTGCCTTCAGTCTTCCGGGCCCGAGCTGGAGGAGGTCATGTCTTAGAGATGATGGGTCCAGCTTTAACTTTTCCTCCACAAACTTCCACGGACATGTAAGGGTGCAACTCTCCTAAGTTTCCCCAGGAGG